CAGACACTTTGCTTACTCACAAGTTAAAAATCAGACAGACTTGAATAGCCCATTTCAAATTACCTCTGGCCTCTCTTTGAAAAACAAGGCCTAATGCCTAACCATTCTTTGGAAATGAGTTAAATGTACATGTGAATGAAAACTTTACTCGGGCTTTCCGAAGGAAACACCCTAGGTATAAATTCCGCTTCGTTTCTTTTTTTTTATTTTCACTTTTTTTATATTTTGCATTTAGTCACAAAACACAGTTCCACAACAACGCATGCGTGAAGTTTGAGTGCATGCGTAGAATGAACTTTAGAGCGCATGATTTCAAAGTTTCAAGCAATGGCTGCCTTTGTGGACAATTGATTGCTTGATGTATGCATAAGAAATTTGATGGCTATTACGCTCAATATACCTAAAAAGTCACACACCGTTATCGGTAGACCCACACTAAGACTTGTGGAGCGTTTAGAAATGGGTCAGTCCGCGAACTTTACAAGAGATCAATTTACAAGCGATCCTTTACGAGTGAACCTTCTATCGAGGAATATCAAGCGAAAGCTGTTATATCAAATGAGCCATCTCATATTGTGTTTACCTGTAAACACAACCATGTATTTAGATGTGATTGAGAACCCAGTAAAGTACAAGAAACGGCTCTGAAAGATCTCAGAAGAAAGGGCAAAAAACTGAAGGAATTTGTTTACAAGCGTATAATTTCGTCCAAGCATACCCAGTTCCCCTTGGTTATGTCGCTATGTGAAGGTTAGAAGAGTTACAAAGAATGTAAGCTTAATATGAAGAGGGTAAGATTAAATAAAGTTACACAACATGAGAAGAAGTATTTGTTGAATTGTTCTGTGAGGGTATATCAAACGATTAAATTGAAGTATAGAGGAAGTCGGCATTTATCAATGTTTTCTTGCTATGGACCCAAGTGTCTTTGTAAGAGTCAGACACACGTATTAAACTATTGTAAATTTCAACTGAGTTCAGATAGAAAAAAACAGTGGTCCTACTCCCATGCACATTGACCCCAGCAAAACAATAAGGGCACGATATAGCTAAGCTAATGAGTTGGCATGTGGACAACATTCAGGACAACAATGTGTTGTAATGAGTTTATGCTCTTTGATTTACCATAACAAACAAGGAATCTATTCTGCGAATGATGTGGTGTCAATAATCAATATTGGTATTCAGTTGTATTCAAGTTTGTCTCCATTAACCAGACAATCATTTTTAGTGCAGACAGAATTATCCATGCTTTTAAATGTATTCGAGACTGACTATGAACTTCAATACAATGAAAGTTACACTGGCACTATTCATCAACAAGCTACGATGGAAGGATAAGCTAGGATAGATAGAGCCTTTCGATCACTTATATCCAAAAATTTCAACAATTTTGTCTTGACAATAGGATGTACTATTGTAAGTAAAGGCAATGTTGGCTTGAAAATATTTCATTCTCATGCAAGGGATATTTATGGTAGAAGCCATTCTCAAGGTACATATGTGCTGCTTGAAGTATCATCACTGAATAGCTTGGCACATTATTATCAGAGTATAGATAATGATATATTTGAGTTGAAAGGGGTTAAAATTGATAAAGTTCAAAATAGTGCCCATTTTCAGTCATACCTGTGAAACCAGAAAGTGCAATGTGAATTGTCTTGTGGCTGTCTATTCACTCTGCTACTCCATAATAAAATTGTGTAGTTATTGGAACTCAAACATATTATCTGTTATTCAGTATGGCAAAAGATTATGAAAATTCAGCTTTCAACAAGTATTTACAGACAGATGATTTGCCAAAAACTGATGTTTGTGGAACTGAAGTAAGTTTAGATCTTAAAAGTGATTACAGTGAAGAAATATTGTCTGATTCAGTTGACAGCAAATCAGTTCTTGAAAATCTTGTAAGAAATAATAGTTGAATGCACAGGGTTTTTGATGTGGTTTTCTGATTTTTGTATGACATGTATTTTTAAACCCACAAAAAGGTCAAAATTTATAATTATGTGTTTTCCCTCTTGGTATGTAATGAAAGTCAAATGCCTCTAATTGAATACACATAAACCGTAAATAGCACTGCTTCTCTTGTTGTGGCCATCAGCAGTATTAAATATTCAGAGATCTTCTATGAACAACATGAACTATTGAACAGTAATATTGCTTCAATCTATTGCTTTCTGACAACTCTCCTTAGGTGAACATTTGGCAACAAACTATGACTTGGTACAAATAATAGATTAAAAAAATCCCCTCTCCTTGCAGTTAAAGACAAATACATTACCCACTCAGGGTTTGTAAAAGCCTTAAAAGTCCTTGAAGATGCTTGAATTTAAAAATTAAACACTCAAGGCCTTGAAGTACTTGAATTTGAGGACTGAGGCTTGATTTTTGCAATGCTTTTTCTTTAACAATTTTCAAGTTGAAAATTACAGTACTTTCATGGAAAAGCTGAGAAATAATA